AAAAAACGCTCGCCGCTTTGGATCGTCCGTCGGTACACGATCGCGATCCGATACCGTACGCACGAAATCGTTTCACGTTGACACCGTACAATTCAACAGCGAAGAGTCCCTAACCGTGTTTTTAACGGTTAATCGGCGATAAGTATACGAAAAGTTCGTTTTTGATTCAAGTCCAAACGTGCCACGTTCCCGCGCACTTGGTCTAAGGATGGGTCATGGTGTATGCGAATTGTCGAAACTCATAAACTACGCCGGTCACTAAAAAAACGGGTGCGCGAATGCTGTTTGTTGTACACTACACGTGTCCGGGAGAAATTGGTTTCGTTTCGCCAATCACGCCGTTTGAGCTAACGTGTTGATGTATCGTTTATACTAGATCGAGGCGAAAAAAGTGAAAGCAAAGAGCAGGCATAGCTCGCAGAAATATTTACATGTGGAACGACGAGGAAAATCGTAGAACGGCCGCGATCGGGCGTACTTGCACGGGCGCATGAAAATTCCGCTCAAAAATGGTAAATTTCGTACAAAACCAACTACAGGTAAAATAAGGTACATGTAAATTCCGCCCCGAAAAAAAAAACAGGTAAAGAAACGTACATGTAAATTGCGCCCGAAAAAATTGATACTTAATAAACACATCCTACATATACTTTACTTTGGAAAATTTAAAATTGTCCAATACTAAAAGCATATTTCCACGTTCTGATTGTATAAATCGAGCCATTATAACGTATAAGACCGTAGAACGTGTACTGAACACAATTTATAATATTTCTATCTGATATTTTCAATTATTACATACACAATATGTGCCAAAGCTGATATGATATGATACGATTGACGATTGTCCCGTGTTCGTTCGGACACTATTTCCGAATACTATAACACGCCGCGTCGAACGATCACAGAACGCTTAGTTTAAAAACATTTATTTTTCCGGGCGGAACTCACACGTACCCTTTTTTACTTGGATATTTTCCCAGGCGGAATTTACCATTGACCTTGTTTTTACCTGTTAGTTTCGGACGGAATTTACGATAACCCCCACCCCACTTGCACACGTATCACGCACGCATTCCAGAAAAGGACCGACGCTCGGGCGAGCGCCACCTTTGCGCGGGTATTCGTCGTGCACGAACATCGCGTCGGTCCTCAGCACCGGCGGAGAGGGTGAGTGGGTGCGCTCGAGAAACCGTCGTCGGTGGGGGGGGTCGTTCGGTGGCGCCGTCGGTTCCACCGAACAAATGACTTCGACAGTCGAACACGCGGGGTACGCGCCAGCTTGCAGCGGAGGTGCTCACGGTGTCGGGGGCGGAAAAATTCCACCGGGAAGATTGATAAGAAACGGTAATGAGCGGCGTAATGCACTGGCGCGCGGTGCCGTCGCCCGCGGATGAATTAGCGTTCGGGGCTTTTATCGGTCGCGCGTCGGACGTGACGGAAGCAGAGATGGATCGGCCGTGCCGGATTCGACGGAAGAATCGGCAACGAAGATAACGGGGCCGCGGGGGCAGGGAGCGAGGGACGTTGAAAAATGTCGCGCGACACCCGTTAAAAGCTCCTGGGGAAATTAGGCGACTGCTCGCACCACCGCTGCGTGAATACGTCTGCACGGGGGTGATGGGTATGAAGAGGAGGAGGACCGGAAACGACGACGGGGTGCGGGCGACACGTCCGGGACTGCGCGGCGCGGTGACGTCAAAAAATCGGTCGCGTGCCTGCCGCGCCGCGCGTTTTTAATTGCGACGCGAGCGCAAAACCGCCGTCCCGGGGACAATGCGAGACGACGATGATCGAACGGCCGTCAGAAATCGGTTTTCCGCGGACGAACGCGTGTTCGCGCATGACGGGTGGTCCACAACGTTATCGACCGCGCCAATGTCGCGTGTTTATTATTGTGCAAATGTTATTTTGATCGATACACGGTTACAGTAATATTTAATAAATACAATGTGTACACTGTATGTATATACATCGTTTAACGTGGTGCACGTCGTTTGTCGGACCGGCTGAAAGTGCTTACGACGGGGAAAAAGTAAGAGCTCTCGATGGAATCGCCCTCTCACTGTGTATCTAGGAGCTGTGACTAAATCTCCGGCGCAAAGAAGGCCGCGATTATTGTTCGCACGTCGAATAGTTCACGATATCGGACTTCGGGAGGATTCAAACTCAACAACGAATCGATTAAGGTGAGGAACCGTTCGAGTTCCTTAAGAGGACGGTCACGCCCGCGTTTGTTGTCTGTGTCTGACGTACGTACAACATAGCGGATTTGCGTTCAGCGTTTCGAGTTTAGTGACGTTAGCTTTAACGTTAGAGTAAACTGACTTTTGATCAAACTTTAAGGGAAGAACATTATCTGTGTTTTGTTGGTCGGTTTTTCCGATATTTCAATTTTTTAGCGAGCAATGATGTTTTTTTTAAATGTTATATTTTACATATACTCATAACACGCTTAAAAATTAAAATATCGGAAAAAACCGACCAACAAAACATAGATAATGTTCTTCCCTTAAAGTATGATTATAGGTCAGTTTGCTCTAATATTAAAGCTGACTTCATTAGATTTGAATCACTGAACGCAGATTTGCTCTGTTGTACGTATGTCAGACGGAGACAACCCTATACTGGTGTGACGTCCTTTTAAATTTACACGTTTAATTAGTCTCTCTCTCTTTCTCTATCTCCATCTATTTTTATCTAGAAATTTAAACATATTTATATATATCTTACTCGAGCACTGTTTTTATTTTTATATTTTCATAGATATTTTCGGTAGCCTTTACACTTCAGTGTCGAATATTGTCGTACAACAACACAACATTTGCAGTGTGATCATAAGCTGAATTATGTCAAAAAAAAAAAAAAAAAATAGTTCATATTTAAAATACATCGTAACACATTAGCATAAAACTACTAGATTTCAAGTTCTGTTTTCAACTCAAACAATTGTAGGGAAACGTTCATTAATTATTATCAATTTATAATGACATTTTTTACATGTAAGTTTTAAACATTTTTTCCCTTCAAAACAAACGCGTTGGAAATGCAAATGGAGATTCGGTTGATGAAAAAACAATTTGTAATTTTTAGTGTTAATATTTATTATATTTTCTTCCGAGTATTAAAAAATTGATTTATCGAATGTCAATCTGTATGTTATCTATCTACGACTGCTGTTTACGACATATATCTTATTCTCCGACACGGTAAAAAAATTATCACGTATACATTTCATGCTTCAAGTATGTTTTGCTTACGATAATAATAATGAATGTACTCTATATAAAAAAACAGACTGCTCTCAGTATGTTTTTTGTTTTGGTTTTAACTCGTATGATGACACTTATTTTATTGAGCTCGAACATAATTTATACTCGGGGTGAAGACATAATTTTCGAACAACTTAGTTTGTTTTTCATCCATATGTTTCGTAAACATTCGAAACAAAAAATATATAATATGTTATATCATTATATCTTCTTAATAGAGTTTAGAATAGAAGTATATTTTTGTATTTTACTATATTTTACTTAAAAATATTCTAAAAAAAAGAAAAAAAAAATGTATTTATTTAATTTGATTCTTCTTGTTTAAAATATATTATTTTGTTGAGCTGTGTTCGTTTTATAAGGTATACGAATCGTGTAGGCGGACATCTTTCAGTATGGCTCATCTGTATAAATGCGTTTTATCCGGTTCTATGTGCACAAGTCATATCTCGAAGATTTTCTGTGTTATGAAATACAACATTCAACATAACTGTGTTTTAAACTTGATGGTCAATTTAGTATATATTTTGTTTGGATATTTTCGCATCATACATCATCATTACCATAAAATCATTTGTAAACAAAATTGGTGTACAAGAAAATCAATTGTTTGAAATCTATTATTACGAAAAGTACTTCTTGATTACAACCTCTGAAATATTAAATTTTTAAATTTAATAGGTTCTCTAATTGTTGTAAATTAATAAATATTTATGAAAATTGTATAATTTTATAATAATATGTATATATTATAATATTACGATGTATAAATTCTATTATTATTAGTAAAAATACGTTCGAAATTGGAATTATTACAACAGTTGGTTGATGTGTACAGTTGAAAACTAGATGGCGCTAAACTACACGTTTCAAGCAATTTTAAAGAACATGGGAAATTACTAGAAACCAAATTATTCCATGTACGACAATATAAATGTAAGGTAAATTTATACAATACGTAAAGTATTGGGAAATAAAGGCAGAAATAAAATATTGTAAATTTAAGAAAAAATTGATTATTTAACTATCGGAAAAAGTAATATTTTATAAAATAAAACTTAAATGTACAACCCTCACTAGAAGTTATAAAAATAAAGTTTAAAATTAATATTTGTCACAAATAAAATTATGATGATGGAGTTGACTATTATATAGAAATTTTTGGTAGATATATGTACCGTATTATGTTTTATAAATAATAAATTGTGTGTATTAAATTTTTAAAATTACGTTTTTTTCTTTAATTTCGTTTTTTATCGTTTTTGATGAAAATATATATAAGCTTTTAAAAATGTTAACTAAATAACTTAGTAACAAATACCTATCATACTAACTAATAACTAAAATGAGCAATATAAATTAAGTATATAAAAACTCTAGTCTATAAAATCGTGTTGTAATAGTTTATTATTTATTTATACGATTTAATCTTTACGTATTACATTTAGTGTTACCTTAGGTTTATTATAACTAGTCTTAAAATCATGCAATTTAATCTAAGATTTGTACAGTACTTTAATCATTAAAAAACTTTTTTAATTACAGAATGCAAGTATGTCCAACAAGATGTTTAATTGTCTTATCTGTCAAAAATGAGTATAAATAAAATTGCAATACGATTAATAAAAGAGTTTTTGTTTTATATACAAATATTTAAATATAAGTATTATATAAAGTTAATAACTTAAACAGGTTTTTAAATAATTAGTTAAATTTCATATTGACCGACAAATGATCAGGTAACACTTCAGGTAAGTATACGGATTTAACATATATTCGATATTTAACGTAAATAAACGATGCGGAAAATCAAATCGAAACTTATTTATTATTTTTCATTCGTTATAACAAAAAAAAAAGTGTTCTCAGTCTCAGTCGATTCGTACGATTCTTCTTGCACATCCCGCAGTATTTTATTAGATGGATTTACTTGTGCGAGAAGTTCCGCGGTCTTCTCATAGACGACATAATGAGAAACGTTTATAGAATAATGACACTTGGATGATTCGTCGGTTCGACTGCGCGCCTCCTGTTAAAAAAGGCTCTTCCACCCGTGGTTTGAGGGGGTGGGGGTGACTGAAAAATAATAATAATATTTAACGTTGTTCGTAGTTCGCTCACTGCGAGGATTTCCGCCCACTCGACGTTCGACCAGATATAATACGAATAATAATAATAATAATAATAATACGAATACGAATAATGAGTATATAATAATAACGAATGCCACCTCGTCGTCGCATGTGTCAGCCGCGTCGTTGCATTTGATTGTGACGCGCGTTCGGAAAAATAATACGGTTTTAATAACAACAATTATCGTTATTATTCTGTTACGGTTTACAACATTACCTCGTTAGTAGGCCGGAAAAAATAAACGGTAAGCCCGTTCGCGCCGATCGGAGTGAATAATGTGAATACACCGCGCGAACGTTTCCGACGCGATTATGATAATATTTTCACGAAATAATATAATACACCGAAGATCATTATGAACACAACACAATAATAGCGACCCGTTTTTTTTCGACGCCCCTCGTTTCGGACGCGGTTCGGTTTTTTGCACGCGTTTACCCGAAAAAAAAAAACCCCATATTTGTACGATTCTTTTCCGTTTTGCTCATTTCTCGAGTGCCTATACGCGCGCACTGTATAACACTATACGCGTTATTATGGCGGCTCAAACGTTGCCGTAATTATCGATAACGCGTGACCGATTTTCGTTTTCGATCGTCACCCCGTGAACATATTCGCTTCGGAGCGTTGTCGATTTGCGTTTACCCTAGTGGAAAAAGACCATGGTCGAACCGCTCTCCGATCGAAAACGAGTAATTACCACAATGCGCTCGGTTCAAGAAAAATGTTCGAAAAATCAATCTTATTTTTAACGCGCGGTTGTTTTTTCGCATAACGTAAAAGTACGTAAAAGAAATACTCGTAATAATAACACCTCCATTTACGTACGTTTTTGTTATGACCAAATTTTTTTCGAAAATACAAAAAAAAAAAAATATTTTCCTGAAATACATCCTGACTCAAGCGATTGGTCGTAAAAAAAAAAGTACTACATAATTAGATTTTTTTATAAAGGTGTAAATATCACATTTTCTTCACTTCAGTGCAATTCGATTACTTCGATTTCGGTAAGAAGTGCGGTTCGGCTGTACCTTCGGTGTGTTCCCCTTAAACTGCAAGTTCGCAAATCGTCGCGTCTAGACCGCCGTAATGCCAACCATTGTTTAATATTTAAGTCCTAGGAGAACAAAACATAAACGAATGGCAAAAATTATTTTGCTATATTTATAAGATTTTTTTTTTTATTATTATTTTTTACGTCTACTCACGTTTATAGCCAATACTAAAATATTATGGCCATCAAGCCGATCCGTTTCGTTTTTAAGGATAATAACATGATTTAATATTTATAAAATTGCGCGTTGTGCTCTCCGAGTCCACGCACGCCGCCGGATAATCGAAAACCGTCATCGGACGGACAACTTTGGCCGCGTGATCGTCGTCGGCCGTGTCCATAAATGTTTATTTCCCCATGAATAGTTCAATAAATTCAAAGATATCCGGACGCAGAACGTTGCGCGGGTCCAACCCCGTGTACCGTAACCACTGCGAGACGCGTATGATTATTTTATGAACCACCGTCCTCCCCGACCGAAATGAAATCTCTCGATCTGTCGTCGTATACTTTTATGTCCACCACGAGGGCGGTTTTCCTCCACTCCGTATAAATACTTCTACACACGGTACAGTATACGTTTCGTAGCGTCTCGCCAAAACTTTTGGTTTCCTCTCTTTAATTTACCGATTTCCGAAAGAAATGTCGTCATATACGTACTTCTATAAAAAATAAAAATAATAAAATAAAAAAACCGTATTGGTCTTTCGCATGGATTCGTTTTGTTCCCCCGAAACATTCTTCGCGTGTAGTATATATGACTTAAAGCTAAAAGTTTTACCAGACACGATAAATCATAAGACTGTATATTGGGTTGGCGAGAGATCGATCATCTGCGAAATATTTCAGTGGTTTCTCCATTGTGAACATTAGAAATAGTGAGTTTTTTTCACTACGTTATGGCTATATATCTTTTGAAAAATAAATAATTTTTTTAGAAATACGATTTATGATTTGTTTTAGTAAACCACGACGGTTGTTTTTTTTATATTTTTTTTTTTTTATCAAACTATATACAATTCGCAATATATTATTTCCAAAACCAATTAATTTATTGATATACGTTTATTGAACACATGATTACAATTAAATTATATAGTTCGATAAAAATATTGATTCGTTACAATAATATTATAATATATTCGACAAAAATGTATAAGCGTGATATGAATACGCAAGACGATTATATTTTAGATGTTACCTGGTTGTCAAAGTCACTGCAACGTACCCGTAATTTTATTTTGGAACTATGTACGAAAACGTAATGATCCGAAACGAATGTAAATATTCAACGTCCACACTATACAAAAAATAACAACAGACTACACGGTGTACAAAATTAGTTCATCGTGCGTTTGCACACGATTATTTTAAAATGTGTGTACAACAATTGTTAAAAAAAATTGTTTTGTTCAAGTTGTCAAAAGTATACGTCGTGAACTATATTAATGAATTTATATTATTTTCGAAGCTATGATCAGGTGAGTGAAGTTAGCGGAGAAAGGTAAGCTCCCGTAACTTTTTACTGGCCATAGAAGTAATTTTGAAAATAATATGGTTGAATAGCAGTGACTGAGCACTGAATACTAGTGCTCGAATTTTTTCCGTTAACGCAACTGCAAAGGTCCCCGTAAAATGAGTGATAGATTATCAAGTATAATTCCACAGAAAAAATTGTTATAGCAAAGTCTTAGATATGTGTTTTCAGCAATCCGAAATCAATATTCTGTACAACTATATGTACTCATTACGGTGAACATTTCTTTTATTTACTTTCTGAGTGTTTCGATTGCTGTTTGAGATAAAGTCATGGAAACAACGTCGATTTTCTGACTAGTGTATGATCAAACTAAAAATGTGTATGTGGATGTCATTATTACCTAATAATTCCTCATGGATGTGAGTTAATGTAATATCTAAAAAACAAAGAGTTGTTTGGGGTTTTATATTTATTTAATAGGAAATGCACAAATAAACAATTTAAAAAACGCACGTCACTCTATAGAGTAAGTAAATGTATTTACATCGATATTAACTGTCTAAACGTTATTTTACGATTCGGTTTATATTCACCTGTGTTATATATACATGACTGTTAATAGCAAATAAACATTCTATAATATTCTTGATCCGATAGTTTCATGTAAGTATTTGGCTCGCGTATCGATCGGAATCGGTCTAAGTGATGTGTTGAACGGCGCACAACATAAATAATTATTGAAACTCGCTGCAGTACGGATCATAATTAATCATAAACAACCGCAGTTACCCGAATATTTGGATCGATTTTGGTCCGCGAAACAAAAATACAGCACTAATCATGACGGTTCTTACTAAATGTAAAAAATGTATAGAAAGGAGGGAAAGCATTTATATACATATAAGTACCCCGTTATTTTTACAACGATCCGTTTTTCTTTTTCAATCTTCAGGGACGTGAGAAAGCCATGGAAGTTTCAAGAGGTTCTGTGTAAGATAGTGTGACGACATCATCGATATCGGGGGTACGCGAGACACCGTTCATTTATCCACAGTTAAAAATAAAAATTCATAAAAACCGTGAAATGGTTGCACAGCAATCTTTCGCACTTACTGGTAAACTGCACACTGTTGTGCTGTCGGTTGCGCGATGTACGGTTTCAAAGTTGATAACGTTAATAGTAAAATTGTGTTGTTTATCCATCATTATTGTATAAATATTTTACACATAAAACCTATAGCAGTTCGTAATGGTATTCATCGTCGAAACACTACAACTTATACTTTGACGATTCAATCGTAATGAACATTTGTTATGGTTCATTGAAGTAATGTAAACCGTTGTGACGTAATCAAAATGTTCATATAAATTATGTTTGTCCATGTAAGATTTTAATTTTTTAATTGTATGTTTCATCGAGGCAAATAATTCATTCGAAACAATCTAAAACGAGATAAAACTTATAATAAAACGTCCCTCCGTTGGAAGTGATCTCAGTTTGACTTTAACAACATTACGTTTCGTACAATATAATATGCGCTTTTCGTGGCTACTCCGGTTAACATGTTCAATAACGCGTCTTAATGTTTCCTCTTGCTCGGACGATAATCCTATGAGGTGATACGATTTTCATCCCTGACGAAAGCAAAAGGGCATTCTTTATTTTGATTGAATCCGATTTTAATGCGCAATATATATTCAACGTTATCCGGAAGAGCCCATAACACGTGGTCGTTCTTCTAGGACGATAATATTCTTCACGTATATATATATATATATATATATATATATATATACACGTGTGTGTACAGACAGTTTGAGAACGATAATTGCATTTGCGAGGGCCCGTTATGTGCATAAACTCTTTAAAACGGTCATACAAAATTGTCAAATTCAAAACAGATTTGGCCGTTTCATCCGCATTTTATGTACAAACACAAGCGAAAGGGAACGTACGCACTACATTGCTATGATAATATGCCAATATTAGTTTTGACGAGCAAACTTGGATAGGAGTATCTATAGTTAAAAATATTCGTGTTATTTTTCTGATCTATGCATTTTTAGTTAGATGCGTACATCCGATTCGGTGTACATTACGGTATTAATCGTATACATACATGTGTACACGAGTATTTCACGAGTATTTATCGGGTGACTATCAGCAGTGCTGTCTTATGTCCAAGTATACGCGATTTTAAAATCGTGTTAACCCGTTGGTGCACATAAGGACGTTCGTTAAAATTCATATTACGGACAATAAAAGCTCCGTCGACTGTTTGATCTCTGACGTAGACGACTGAAAGCTTGCGATCACTAACTCGTGGCGTCAGGTTGAACTACGAGTTCGTACCGAATGCCCGGCAAATCGTTTATTATTCGATTTCCAATGACACTAATCTGATCGTGCTGTTACGTTAAACAATCCCTGTCGGCATGGCAGGTGCTGACCGATCACTTGTTTCGGGAACAAGAGTACTTTCGAAGAAAGGGTGACCACCGGAATATTTCCGATGATCGATAACACCCGTGTCCACCGGTGCTCCGGCAGTAAAACTCGATCTTCGTGAGTGTTGATATTTTGGCCTTGTCCAACGTCGGAACGTCCAGTTTCGCCCGTGTTTACTGACAGTCGTCACGTAGCACGCTAGGCACTCGTTTTCGTTCGAATTATGTGGATTCGAACATATTTCGTTTACGAGTACCGTTCACTCGGTGTTTCGAGTGTCCCGGTGTATTTATTGTACACATATGATCTATATCGCGGGTTCGTGAATAGCGAGAACGATCGGTGCAGTATGTGAGCGGTGATCGACGACGTTAACCAGATACCGCGTAAATCGATGCGGTACTGCTGCAGCAGCGGATCGTATACACGCGAGAACAGCTGTGCCGTATATGTAAATACATATATGTATAGATGACGTACACATACGCGCGTCTCTTCAACATCTAATTAAAAACGAGTGAAAAACACACACACACACACACACACACGCACGCGCGCGCGCGTGCAGACGCAGTACGGGCCCTAACCGTCTTTAACGAGCGCGCGTTAATTATTATTCCGTCACACAATGATAATAATATATTCTCTCCGCAAGCCGCGGTGCCGGAGCAAATCGAAAGAAAATATTTGAATACGATATTTACGTACACGGGAGAGGGCATCGAAGAGAAACGCTATGTTTATTGTTATCCCTCCGCGCGTATAAATTATAATATTGATATGGTGTACTCGAAGGTGTATAATTAGTAATTGCTATCGCTGTACCGCGAGACGTGATCTGGAGGTGCGGAGAATTTCATTCGGTCCCGTCGCGTGTAGTGTAGTATTATACTCATAGGCGCGCGCACGGAGGGGCGTCGGATGTTCCAGGACACCCCTCCCCCTCCGTAATATTATGAATGGGGCCCTTACAGTGCAAGTCAAATAGTAAAGAGCTCTAATTTACAACCGATTTTTGTTCGAATTGAATTAAATTTACTCCAAAAATATTTGGTAAAAAATAAATGACGTTTCGTAACAGAAAAAAATGAAACAAAACATTCGTGCGGAAATTGATGATGACAATATAACAGCTACGGTTGTCTGCAAAAGTACAAACCATAAACAATTGAATCCATCCGAGGAAAACATGCGAGATCCAAGGAAATCGTATTCATCGGGACTGATCTATCAATACGTTAAATGTAAAATTAAATTTACGTTCATTTAATTATTTATACGCTATAATTTATTAAGTGTACCTACTCGTTTCGTTAAAATAGGACCTAAAAGTGTTGCGGTCACCCCCTGAAATACGTGTGCTCACGGCTATGATTATACTGCAGTACACCGATATTAGTACTGGATTGATCAGAAACGATGCGATATAAAACTGGATTTTTAAATCCACCGTTGCCGTATCGCTCAGCCGCGAACAGTTTTCTTCTGCTCGCACCCTGTTTCCCCAATCCCCTCAACCTAGATCGAATCAATTCCCGAACGAGTGGGCGTGAATCGATTTTCTCAAACCATTATTTTTTATGTGGACGAAAAATCACACGTTTAACGTATACGTAAATAATACGTGTGTGTATAAAACTGCAGAAGTGTTATGTAGTTAGAACCGGTCGATTCGATGAAGTGGGGGGGGGGAGATACGAAACAACGTGTTGTTATTACTAGCTGAATTTGACGTCGATGCTAGGTTACAATAAAAAATTCTATTGTTGAATAATCAAATAAATAAATCTTAAATAATGTATAGAATAAATGTATATGTTATTATAATAATGTGCAATTTATGTTTAGGAAAAACCTAAAATAGAAAACTGTTTATTTTTTTAAGTTTTAATTAGATTTATAGACGTACGCAAGACATTTACATAAGGGAAAACTACTATTGTTTCACTCGATAAAGAGCTAATAAGAAAATGAAAATTTCAATTGATTTGTGTAGTATTATTGTGGAATTTCTTTGTAAACTATATTCATTAGATCTTTTTTGTTGTTTCGTATTATTTGTATTTGTAATTTTTCAAAACATCTAACTTAGAATATTGCATCATAAAGTTGACAATGACTAAATACAGATTTGGATAGATACAACCCTACTTTATCCAATATTTGATCCCGTGCTTTGTTGATTGTCATAGCAAAATCTACTCTTATCGGAAATTAACGTCTAGTAAATGAAAAGGGAAGAGTAGAATCTGATGAGGTCAAATCAATTCTAGGCAATAAAATACGCTGACCAGGTCCTTATATAGTTTATATATAGTTTATATATATAGTTTATATATATAGTTTATATATATATATAGTTTATATATAGGTTATAGATTCCAAGTCTAAAGAATGGCCGTACATATTTTGTACAATAAATCTTGTATTATTAAA